GGGATATAGTCGATGCCTCGTCCGTCTGTCCGTCCATCCGTAATCATTTTGTTTCCGGAGCATAACTCAAAAAACGTTCAATATCTTTCAACAAAACGTCGTAGATATATCAAACAGAACCTAAAGTGGTGCCTTTTGCTATTTGCAGGTTTTTGTCATTTTTATTGTTATTGGTTTCCATGGAAACGTTTTGGACTTAGGCTCAAAAAGAAGGGGTTGGTTTCGTTTCGAAAACTGTTCAATATCTTTCATCAAAACTTTGTAGATATACTGAACCGCAACAGTAACGTCACCCTACCAAACATTTTGCCAGATATGTTTCTTCTGAATGTTATTTAATTTTTCACTATTTATATTTTGGTAGACCTGGTTCGTAGCCAATGTTCACGAAAATTTGGGTTCAGATGCTTGATACAAAAAACGTCGTCAAAACGCAGTTACTAAAGTAATGATGGGACGAGTTTTTTGTGCGTATTTCATGAAAATGACAATGCACGTGCATCCCGAGGTGTCATCCCTATAAGAAGAGCCACCGAACATGCACTGAATCATTCACTGTTCGACAGTAGCGACATGCCACGATTATCAAAGGAACAGAGGGACCAAGCTTTAGGAAGACTGAATGCTGGCCAGACTGCAAGACATGTTGCAAATCATTTTTCTGTTCATGTTCGAACAATATACCGCCTGCAGCAACGAGTCCAAGCCACGGGAAGCACAGCCTACAGTCCTCGCAGCGGAAGACCGCCTGTGACAACGTTGAGGCAAAATCGGCAGATTGTCCGTCATCACCTGCAAAATCGTTTCGCTAGGGCTACAGACACTGCACAGACAACCATTGGCAATCACCAGAGACCAATCATCGCCGACACAGTGCGAAGGCGTTTTAGGCAGAGAAAAGTCAGATGTCGCAGGCCTTACCGGGGTCCGATCCTCACTGTTCGACATCGTCGTGCTCGTCTCCAGTGGGCCACACATCATCGGAATTGGCGTCACCGAGAGTGGCAACTGTAGTCTTCTCCGACAAAAGCCGATATTGTGTCTCGACGGCTGATGGCAGAGTGAGAGTGTGGCGTCGACGCGGGAGCGTTTTGCAGATGATTGTGTCCTGGAAAGAGACTCGTGGGGAGGTCCGAGCATAATGCTGTAGGGTGCTATTGCTCTCAATCACAAACTAGGCCCTATGGTGTTCCAGAATATTGGTCCTGGTAGAGGAAATGGTGTAACATCTGCCCGCTACATTGATCAAGCGCTGAGACCCTTCGTCGTGCCACATTTTGGTCGTCATGGAAACGACGTCTTCCAGCATGACAACGCGCGTGCCCATACTGCCGGAGCAACTACAGACTTTCTCCGTCAACACGGCATACAAACTCTTCAATGGCCTGCCCTCAGTCCAGACTTAAACCCGATAGAACACTTGTGTGACGAGATACAGAGGAGCCTCAAAGATGTGCGATCAAGGCCGACAACTGCAGCTGAACTCTCTCTGGCGTGGAAGGAGAGTATTGAAAGGTTTTTTTAAAGTTCTGCTCCAGAAAGGAGCACTATCACCAATTTAAGTCTCTGTCAAACTTGTTGCCATGGAAATACCAAATTTATTTTATTCAGAAATCCAAAACTACCAAAAGGCACCAGTACACAACCAGATCTATGTATGTGCCAAGATTGGTGAAGAAATAGTGAACGGTTTTAGAGTTCAGCTCCGGAAAAGAGCACTACCACCAATTTCAGGCTAAGTAAAACTTGTTGCAACGGAAAAGCCAAAAATATTTTATTCAGAATTTCAAAACTACCAAAAGGCACCAGTACACAACCAGATCTATCTATGTGCCAAGTTTGGTGAAGAAATAGTTAACGGTTTTAGAGTTCTGCTCCGGAAAAGAGCACTACCTCTAATTTCATTCTAAGTAAAACTTGTTGCCATGGAAACGCCAAAAATATTTTATTCATAATTCCAAAACTACCAAAAGGCACCAGTACACAACCAGATCTATCTATGTGCCAAGTTTGATGAAGAAATAGTTAACGGTTTTAGAGTTCTGCTCCGGAAAAGAGCACTACCTCTAATTTCATTCTAAGTCAAACTTGTTGCCATGGAAACGCCAAAAACATTTTATTCATAATTCCAAAACTACCAAAAGGCACCAGTACACCACCAGACCAATCTATGTGCCAAGTTTGGTGAAGAAATAGTTAACGGTTTTAGAGTTCAGCTCCGGAAAAGAGCACTACCACCAATTTCATTCTAAGTAAAACTTGTTGCCATGGAAACGCCAAAAATATTTTATTCATAATTCCAAAACTACCAAAAGGCACCAGTACACAACCAGATCTATCTATGTGCCAAGTTTGGTGAAGAAATAGTTAATGGTTTTAGAGTTCTGCTCCGGAAAAGAAAAATGTGCACGGACGGACGGACGGACGCACGCACGCACGGACGGAGTCCATTTTAAAAAGGGAGTGACGGTTTTTTGGCGGTTCAGTATATATCAAATAGGACCTAATATGGTGCCTTTTGCTATTGACAGATTTTTGGCAATTATATTTTCCCCGGTTTCCATGGAAACGATTCGGACTTAGTCTCAAAAGGGAGGGGTGGGCTTCGTTTCCGGAGCACAACTCGAAAACTTCTTAATATATTTCAGCAAAACTTGGCAGATATGTGAGGCAGATTCCAAAGTGTTGCCTTTTGCTATTTAAAGAATGTTGGCATTTTTTTTAGTCTAAAAAGACATCAAGCTGGACTTTAAGTAACTGTCAGATGATTTGTTCTTTCAAATATGTGGGGGCCGGGGGAATATGTCATCTTCTTCTTGTTTTCATCTTGTCATCGATATACTATTATCACTTGGTTACTAAGGACACCTGCTTTATGTCAATCAATCCTTTTGCTGAAACGGAGAAATTGATTTGATCAAATATTTATTACTCGTGCTGTCAGAAGCAGATTGATTTATCAGGAAAACGTTGCTCTATTATACATGTGTACACAATAACCACGAAATGCACGTTCAGAATGGCTAAAGAATTCATGGCACAGAAAAACTAAGCCAGTTGCGCGATCATTTCCAGACACTTTCCCTTTCTCGTCAGTAATGGGCGTAGACGTATAATCAAATTGATCAAATATTATTACTCGTGCTGTCAGAAGCAGATTGGTTCATTAGGAAAACGTTGCTCTATAAATGTGTACACAATAACCACCACGACTATCATTGATGTTGTTCCACGGCACTGTAGTACACCTGGATGTGCTACAAACGCTTCCAAACATCAACTTCATCACTTAAGCACTTAAGCTGTTGGTGGCCTATGCTATTAAAATGTGATCTGCGTGTATTTTTAGGACTACTTGACAAATATGAAGCCCGAAATTTAATTTGGACACGCCTTGTCTTCTGTTTGGCTGTATACGGGGTGAAAAGATGAATAACGCTACTCTGCTTCTGACTAACTGAATAAGTTTTACGTCACTGTTAGCAATATTCCAGCAACATCAGAAATGGGTACCCATGTTGGGAATCAAACTCTTTTCTTGGGCGTCTTGGGCATAATGAGAGAACACTTTAACCACTTGGCTACCCCACTGCCCTTCTCTGTTGGCGTTTTCACAAGGACCTTTCCACGAGCGTACTGTTTACACAGAAAGAGAGACAGTTTAATCAGTGAAAAGGCCCTAACTACAGGCATTGTTTGGCTGCATTAATTGCGCATATCAGTGAAACTGAGTTTCCCTACGCTTTTGGACTTGCTATAAATATAGCCATGCGTTACATACAACACCAAAGTGTTCACATGAAATAATATTTAGCGAGCTCTTTATACTGTCATGTTCAACCTGAAGGCAAATAATTGCAACCTGTTTATAGTATAGTACTGCATACTTCTCTTCAATTATATCTCATAGAAGAATCGGTTATAGAGTGAGTGGTTGTTGGCATTGATGTAAGGAGGCACATTAGGTAGATACTGTCAGTTGTCACCCAACAACAATGTAATTCAACTTGGCTTCTCCAGCAGAATATCACTATTCATCACAATACTGATGTCTTTTGTGATTTGATTCACATATAATGTCTTAATCGTAATATACACGCAGCTTTCAAAAGAGATTTTTAAGAGCATACACTCTGTCGGTTTTGCTCCACTACTAAATCATTTCTATACTGAAGTACAAAAGAAAGCACACATCTGATGTTTTGAGACTATTAAAACAGCGTTAATGTTTTGCTAGTAATGTTCCAATTGGGTACGATATCTATGGTGTTATTGCAGCACGTACACAATGCTTGTGACTTGTGAGTCGCAATCAAAGCACTTTTCTAAATAGTACGCTGTTTTCATGAAAACATTTTACCAAAGCATCAGGTGTGTACTTTCTTTGTACGTCAGTTTATTATTCCAATCAATTAATCTCGTAATTGTCAGTCCCTAGTATGGTGATCTACCTTCAGTTGCAGGCGGTACTCACCCCGTTTTTATATTGTATTGTCCTAATTTGAAATCCAACTTTACAGAATGATGCTATTTTAAATTGTTGAAACTGAGATATTCTAGTTAGTTTTACTGTCCTTCGTCAAATGGTTTTTAAAATATATGTATTTATCATGAATTTATAACTATTTGTCGTCACGATATGCTTGAAATATACAGCCGCTGTGAATATAAACTTTAAATCACTTACACAAAATTGTCAATACACAAAACACATGCATGAACTCATATCTTCCCACCACCTGCTACTACGAGATCCCTGCAGAATTTTATGGGGTTATTTAATCCACAGATGATGTCAAAAAGCCAGATGTTTGTTCTGAAGAACCTGTAAATCTGAAGAACTGCAATCTGTAGTTATAGCTACGTATGATGTCCACACCAGATTGTTTGCAGGCCACTGTGGTTCGATTGAATTTTTGCTTATTGTATTATGACATTGTTCGTGCTGAAAAGAACGGGACAGTCTATGACTGTGCAATTTCAACTATTCTCCTCCACAGGTGAAATCTATCAACCAGATGTCTGTTCTGACGAACCCATTCCCAACGCAGTCTGTAGTTCTGAATCCAAGCTGGCAGGGGGTGTGAGGTCATGTATCTGTCACACAAACTACAGAGATGTAACGCTGGACGTCGTCAGTGTCAACAACACCTGCATGGTTGATGGCAGCTGGACTCCGCACGTGATTAATTGCACAGGTAAACATCTTTTTTAAAGAAATTATGGTGCTTTTGTGTCTGTCAGCAACTGTTTGTTTCGCAGAAAGGGTGTACTTATTTAGGACTGATACCACTTGGCGCGGATAATGGCTTGGTGTGTCTGCATCTCTTCATTGTTAAACCAGTAAACCTGAGAGCAAAACCCGGGTCACATCAGAAAGCCTTCCATATAGTGTATTCCCATTTGCTCTGCTCCAAGAGAGAAGGGTTAATGTTTGTTCTTTACTGTCACTAACAATTACCAACATACTCAAATCATTTCATCCCAAGGTCCCTACGTCGGAATGACCACACCTAATATCGGCACATACACCTTCCAACAGATATCAACCAGCAACCTTCAAACTATCACAGGCGGCACCTCCACCCTGGTATTTCTAGTCAAGACGTGCTACGATGCCAACTTTGCCCTACACACAAATCCCAACAAGTATGCTACTGCTATGTATGAGGTGTCATTTGGTGGTCACGGTAACTCCAGGTCATTTATCAATGGGTGCCTGCAGTGCGGTAACAAGGCTTCCCTCTATGAATCATCTATTGTATCCTGCAACGAGTACAGACCATTTTGGCTCAGCTGGAAGAATGGCGTCATCTCTGCAGGAAAGGGACTGGTTGCTGGGAGCGATCAATTCATGGAATGGACCCCAGCTAGTCCCATTGTAATAAATCACGTTAGTATCAGCACCTATAGTAATAATCCAGGCACATGGCTCTTCCTAGAGCAGTAGAACCGTCGTCCTGGAAGAGCCTCACAGTTAAGTGAGTGGGGTAATATTTAACTTCATATAGGAAATATTTCAGCCAGATGAACAATTTATATTCTAACACACATCTACAGCAAGACAAAACAAATATGTCAACAAGGGACAGTAAAATTGGTATCATAAAACGATATCACTGTGGGGACCACTACAATATAAATACTAGGGACCATGTGGATGTACAGTACCTTTGCTACCTGCATGAACCCACGCTTGGTTTACACCATCCCTTCAGCCGTTGGCGATTGTACTCCAATTTAGCACGGAGGATGAAAAATACTTTGAATGAAATGGGACTCACATACCCTCTAAGGGGGACCATCGTTTCATGCAACTAGACCCCACTTTGAAAGTATTGCCACTAACAGTCGAAGTTAGGAATTCACTTTTACAAATACAAAATCACTGACTGTTTACGAATTATGAATAATATCAATTTCCTTTTGAAAACAAATAAAAAATAAATGAGAACTAATATAAATAAAAGGATCCTTCATACATTTGACATATTGATTCCTTATGATGGAAAAATCAATGCAGTCAAGTGATTTGTTTAATCACAAGGGATACAAAATGAACGATCCTCAACTTTTAATGATATATATCTAGCATGGAAAATGGGTCATCGTCGCATAATGACCTCTTTAAAAATTCACTTTTAACTCAAGTAGGTGTAACCATTAGTTGGTTTTATTTGATGTAATTTATTTATACTTACTTGAGTTTCGCGCTTCTGTTGCATTAGATCACGGATGTAAGATCTAATGCTGGTTTGTAATCGGAGTATGGTATAAGTAATTGTGTCGCAGGTTTTAGCAGCAGAAGCGACCTTATGTAACCCGAAATTTCAACATGGCCTGAAGCCAGATCAATATATAATTCAATTATTTCAATTACCAGTGGATATTCAAAAAAGGTTGGGTTAGCTTGAATTCACGCACTGCAAATAAAAATAGATTTACAAGATTGCTAGATGCTTGTACATTTCATTTTTGTAGATATAAGATTTACGCAAATTCACAATTTTATAAATATTCACAAATGAAGATATTGGTGTGTAATGTTTTATGCTTTTTCTGTATGTTGTTTTAGGTTATTGTACAGTGGTGAGTAGTAGAGGTAATGATTGTCCGGGACCAGGTCCAACAAAAGCCTCTGCAAAGCCTTATTTCCCAAATAAGGCTTTGGTCGGACCCTTAGCTCTTGCTACCATTACCCCTACTAGTAAAATGCCCCCGGCAGCCAAAATTCCCCAAGGGAGAAATAGAAATGTATTGCGCTTCCTCCCAAGGGGAATTGTGTCTCTCACCATGAGAGAACCTCACATCACACAAAGTTGCGACGGTGGGATACGAACCCACATGTACAGCTTAGCGCAGACTATACATAATGGGCCGCACCACTCAACCGACTGAGCTACCGCGGACTTAGCTGAAGTAGGTCAGTTTAACGGGTATTGTATCACACACCCACGCATCACGTGCTGTTGACAGGATCAATAGTCTTCTGTCTGGCCCATCAAGTAATACTAGGTAGGTTCGTCTTATTTTATTTTCATTTTATCTATGTCCACGTGCCGCTATGTCACGTTGACCTCAATGAAACAGTTTAATGTGAATCGCCTATGATCTCTTTGGTGTTCATAATAAAGGCTTGCTGGGCTTTTTTCACCCCTTGTTCTATGTACTTTTTTTTCTCAGCCTCGCTGATAGCAGTACTTTTACGAGACTTGGACCGAATCTCTTGTTTCATTTTGTCATATTTTGTGAGTTCAGAGAGTATCAAACGAAACTCCTCCTCCGAGATCTTGTTGTCAGTGAGTGCGGTAGAAATAAGATCGCTTATGGTGTTAAGCTTTGCTTCAGCTAGAACCCTAATCTCATCATGCTTCAATGCTTTACGATGCAGTCTGCGGGATACAAGCTTAAGCACCACCCCCAACACCCCTGTCACCCCAGCTGTTATTTCGAGCCCCATCACTATAGGTGCTGCCACGATGGTAGCTAACAACCCAACACCTGCCACCCCTAGCCCCATGCTGGTTGTCATAAGGGTGGTATCAACACCGTCCACGGCATTGAAAGCTCTATGGTACTTCTTATATAGTGCTTTCCGCTTGTCGCGGTCTTGTTCTAGTTGACGTTTTACATCGCATAACTGCCTCAAGCGGAACCCGTCTACGGTTTCCAGGGTCTTCACTACTTCATCTATGCCTGGGTACAGCCCCATCCTATAATATATATTACAAAAGATATTTTAATTGGGTTTCAGTTAATAGCAGATCCGGGTATACTATTATGATATAGTTTCCAACTAGTAGTTTGCTGGTATTAGTTTAGGGGTATAGCTCAATCCTATAATATATTTTAATTGGGTTTCATTTAACCTTCGATTAATGTACTTAAAGCTGATAACACTTAGATTAGCGTGCGTGTAAAAAAGTGGGGTCTTAGCTCTACTTCCATTAAGGAGACGAACCCCATCAAGGCTTGCTAAAGGTCTGTGTCCCGGTACCTTAATAATGTTACAACGTTGGTTATTACACCTGTCTTCCCAATGTATTATCATATCATCTATAATGTAAATATACTCACCAGGCTGTAGACTATCTCCGAGATAGACGTCTATGATAATTGTGTAGTTTTCCGCGACATTTCTAAAAACCTCTTGGTCTTCGAGTAATTTGATCTCTGTCTTCACCTTCCCACTGGAAGCTAACATGTTCCCCGAGTGGTCTGGTATTGGCATGACTTGTACACTAGATTCCGGAATATACGATCCTATAATCATTCCGTTGTTCCTAATCTCGGAGATAGTATTATTTTGTTTCAGGGAGATATAAGGTGAGGTGAGGGTTAAGTTAACTAACCATTCAGGCTCTTTAAAATCTGATAACGATACCCGCCTATACACGTTGTCTTTCAAGTGCAGGATGTACAAGGTGTCTTCCTCACCAGGCTGATCGAATCCCTCCGTGTCCCCTAAGTCGTTAAGTGTAGTGTTGGGGTGAAGCCAAGACATTGCTATAATACTATTACGATATAATTTCCAACTGGTTTTCTGATAATAGTTCAGGGGTGCACTTCACCCCCATGAAGTGTATGTTGTCGGGTAGGAAGATCTTGGTTAGTGATATAGTGTCTTCCACGATCACGGTGACACCCTGGAGACTGGTTTTGGAGTCGACACCCACCCGCACGTAAACGTTGCAAACGTTATACTGGTGTTGTTTCCCCCCACCACAGTTTGACCCCCTTCACGATCTCTACATCATCCCGCGATGGTTCCCCTAGGTAGACTTGGATGACCAGTGTTGAGTTCGCCGGTAGACTCTCCAGGATGGTGACCACGCCTTCGAATTCAGACACCAACTGCAATACCACGTTTTGCATGCCCGCTTTACTCGATAGCATGTGGGCTGCCATACTGTTGAGTGGGCTGATGACTACGCTACGTCTCTGAGTCGGGACGTAAGCCACGAGCAGGATTCCGTTGTTCACGACTTTGTTTAGGTGGTTGTCTTTGTTATCCGTGAACACGTAGGGGGAGCTGAGCCTAATGTTGAGAAACCAGTCGGCTTTATCGGGTAATAACACCCACTTGTCATCATCGGTGAAGACGAGCGTATATGGCTTGTTTTTGGTGACAGCCGTCACGTTGCTCTCAACATCGTCTAAGTCGAACAGTTTGCCTCCCCGAACGATGGGTATATTATCCAGTTATCATCACCGGTGTTGACAAGGGTGTACTTAGTGTTGACGGCCGCTCCTGAGGTATCTACTATATCACTTAGATTGCTAGTACCATTGGAGGGGACTTCAACGCGTTTGTAAATGCTGTTTTTCAGTTGCAAGGCGTACAATTTACCATCTACTCCGGGGTCGTCGAATCCGCGTGTGTCACCGAGGTCGGAGATCCCCACATTGATGCATTTTTTCAACTTCATTCCGGGACCTTGTGCGCTGGTCATTTTATGTGCAGGGTTATGCTGAGGTATCCTATATTCACGAAATTATGATTTATATCTAACACCGATATTTTCAGCTCAGGGATGTTGCCCTGGGTTAACCTCTTATACTGCCGCGGTGAAAACGACTCGGTTCTACCGTCGTTGTATTTCTCCGTTTTCACCGGTACGGCTCTCAGTATAGTGGAAGGGTGACCCCCCTTGAATGTTGTCCGTTGTGCTCACCTGGCTGAGATGAATGCACAGCTCTCGGTACGGTACTAGGTCAGGTAACTTCGTGCCTGTGGCAGTAGTCGTTGGTTTTATCTCGTCAGGCGATATACCGAGTGTCCTCGCCAATGGTCGACCGAGCCTCAAGGAGTTTCTTCCGTTGTTGATTAACACCACTGTACCGTTTGAGTCGTTCATCTTGAGTTCGGCTCCCAGGGGTTTGAAGACCTCGTCGGTTAGAGAGCACACGCTGTAGTAACCGTCAATTATCTGGTTGCTAGCTCCACCTACGAACAGTTTATTGTTGCTAGCGTTGATGTTAGTCCATCGTGGTAGGTAGGTGATATCGCACAGTGCGACTTCGAGTTGACCCGACGTGTTATCGATCGCGTGCGTCAGCTGAACGGCCTCGCCGCTCGTTATTCCTGGAAGTGTTATGTACATGTTAGAGTATATAAACTCATTATATAATAGTTTTAAAATGTACAAGCCGGGAGTGTTTTATCCTAAACAGGACATAGATTTCTCCCACATTAAGATCGTAGTCGCTGATGGGGGGTATTTCGACTACCAGCCTATAAATGTGTTCGACAAGTATACGCTTTCGGTGACTAGCATCAAGGCAGTACACGCTTGGTTCAACAACCCGATGCAGTTCTGGCAGAATCAACTCAACTTCGCCGTGTGGTGCGCTACAACGGTGTTCACGTTCCACGCGTACTACCAGATCAGACGTATCCTCAAAGAGATCAGAGCCCCGATCCCACAGGAAGCGGGGTGGGATGCAGTA